TGGAGATGAATTTGGCTTGGAATTTAACTGAAAAGGAGCGCTTAACCCTGTACTATGATTCTGCGGAGGAATTGGGGCGGCTGGCGGGATTTCAGTGTTGTTTTTTTTCGCTTCGAGCGGGAGTCAGTCCAGAATCGAGTGTGTAGCCTTTACTCTTTCTTAGTTGAGGAAAACCAAGAAGCGATAACTCGCTTAAAAGTCTTCGGACCGAGCTGAGAAGCGAGATGACAATAGAAAAGACAACAAGGCATTGAGGTAAGTCATTTTTATTGCAAAAATATCAAAATTTCAGCTATAATGTCGATTACCGTTTTTCCCCATACAAACCTTTATAAATTCAAACCGTTGTAACACAACACCACCATATGCTGCAAGGCGAAGGTCACGTTTCGCGTAACCAAACTCGGTGGTTATGTAATAGTAGATGTCGGCGGTAAATATGTCACGTTTCACGCGCTGAACGTTCGCACTCCTCGCATCGTGAGCTTGGGCCGCCTGTGGTTAAATGCTGATGCGTAGACAATGTCAACGAATTACATTTTCAATTTGCTGTTTTCACGATTTTAAAAAGAGCTTACTTTGATAACAGATGAAAATAAATTGAAAGGTTAAGTTTCATTACAATCCAAATTTTGATAGTCCGTTTCTTTTTGTCATATTCAGCTTGGTGTGCGGTAAAACAAATTCAAACCCTGCTTGAAGCGATGAAAATAGGTCAGCCTGATCAAAACCTACGCAGATTTTATGCAGAAGCGAGAATGAAAAAGGGCGAAGATTACAGTAGATCTACCTTGCTGGGATTTCGTCATTCGATAGAAAGACACCTCAATGCCCCGCCATTTAGCAGAGGCCTACAAATTTCAACTGACCCAAGATTTGCAAGATCAAAGCTCATGCTAGATGCGCAAATAAAAAGTCTAAAACGAAGCGGCAAAGAAAATCTCTCGCACAAACCTGCTATCAAGGAAGGAGACCTCCAGAAGCTGAAGTCAAGGGAAGTGTTGTCCTTGTCGTCACCGCTTTCCTTGCTGAGAAAAGTTTGGTTTCATTTCGTCCTGTTTTTCTGCAGAAGGGGCCTTGAAGGGCAAAGAAGCTTGACAAAGAACAGCTTCAAGTTTGAAACCGATGCGGCTGGAAGAAATTACGCAACCACAAGTCACGATGAATTATCAAAGAATCATCCCGGAGAACTAAAGGACGTTGAAAGCACAGAAAAAGAAGCCAGAATGTATGAGACCGAAGACCAAGGTGACTGCTACAAGGCCCTCAAATTGTATCTCCAGAAGGTAAATTCAAAGTGTACTGCGTTTTTCCAGCATCCGAAGAAAAATAACAGGGCTCTAGATGCCGTTTCGTACGAAGCACGACCGCTAGGAATAAACAGCCTCGCTAAAATGATGAAGACCATCAGCGAAGAAGTAGGTTTATCCAAAATCTACACAAAATATTGTGTAAGAGCCACTGCCATCACTCTCTGGTCCAACGCTGGGATTTCAAACCGCCACATCATGGCCAGTTCTGGACACCGCAGTGAGCAGTCTCTGATAAGCTAAAATTCGCGGCCTTCGACCTCACAGCTCCATAACTGCAGCCAAGTCTTGTCGAGAGCCTTTCCTCCTTCTGGCAACAATCACAGCCAGCCATCAGAAACTTCTCACCAATCCACGTCGTTCCAGACCAAACAAGTGGCAACGAAATCGCTCTTCGGCGAATGCACTATTAAAAACGTGCAAATTGTTTTCAACAGTTCATCCTCTGAATCGATCAGAAATTCAGTCCATTTTTAAATGATTTTGGACGGCTGTCTACTTTCTTCAGTTTGTTCATAATTCTGCTGAACTATTTCACCGGTTGTTGGATACAGACCTTAGAAAGAGGATTTTAATCGATATTTTAAGAAACGTGATTAAACTTTATCGAGTTGCTGGTGTGCAGTCGGTTGTCATGAATGAATTTTCGCGCGCTCCATAACTCAATAGTGCAAGCTACGGCGTTTACCATTTGTTAATTCATTTGTGCCTGTCCATACATGGCGAATGGTAAAGAGAGAGAGAAAAAAAGATTCATTACCTTTGGGTGTGAGTTGTTCAAGTATCAGCAGTAGTATTCAATTAAAAATTTGTCATAAAAACCTGATCACAATTCAGATCTGCATACTGAAAGGAAAACCCAGTGCAAATCTATAATGTATATAGCCTCCACATTGGAGATCCGGGAAAGATAACACAAGAATTGTGAAAAAAAAAAAAAAAGAAAAGAAAAGATAATGAAATATTTTATAAAGTTAAATTTCCGACAGCACTTAAATAACTGCTAAAAGATGGTATTTTAGTACCCTGAGTTAGCTTTTTTAAGCCACGCTTATTATTTCGGCTTGCTAGCGCTCGTAAAATGTGTAATTTTGGGGTCGAGTTTTGTTGTTGTCGGGGCAAAATACGTAAGGCCGCAGTCGACAAGAAAATAAAAATCCAGATGACTTGAAAGTTATAGTAATTAAAATATATTCTTCTTGACAAAGTATGAGAAAATCTATTCCTCTTTTTTTATCCTGCATAGGTATAGGTGACCGTTAGAGCAAGCTGCTCTTAAGTTATTTTTAGACGTGGCACCCAGTCCTATCGAGGATGTTACTCGCGCGTTGCGTGGATGTTTTCGAGGATGATTTGTTTGTGTTTCGTTCCGTTTCGTTTCGTTTAGTTTCAAAAGGAAGGAAAACCTCCAACGCTGCGGGGATGTGTTCTTTGAAATTTTAATTACAAGTAAAGGAGCTTTGGCCCTCGATATGTGATATTTAAAAACTTTAATAGGAGTTAAAATAAGAATCAGATATCCACTGCGCAAACAATAACAACTGAACGAACAGCAGAGAAATGAGTAGAAAACAAGTGAACANAAGGAAAACCTCCAACGCTGTGGGGATGTCTTCTTTGATATTTTAATTACAAGCAAAGGAGCTTTGTCCCTCGATATGTGATATTTCGAAAATTTAATAGGAGTTAAAATAACAGTCGGATAGCTGCTGCGCAAACAATAACAACTGAACGAACAGCAGAGAAATGAGTAGAAATCAAGTGAACAAACGCCCAAAAACGTTAGGCAACCGAACAAGCAGATGATCTAAAATGCAGGCAGACGCTCGCCATCCAAGCAGCAAAAGGCAACAACGGCAACAAGCGGCAACAACACCAAGAACGCCAAAGACAACTTCGATTAAATGAAGGCTTTATATTCAACCTACGAATGTTGCGAGAATTGAGATTCATCGCTGTCAGCAATATCCCAAAGAGAATATGTAAGACAGGGTCAAACCTCGAGAGAAATTTTAAAAATTGGCCGCCGCTTTAAGAGGGATCACTTTGGATATAAACAGGGCCTATACGAGGGATTCACTCTCATACCTTAATATAAGCTCTTGTTCCGAGTCACTGTGATAAAGTAAAGAGACATCAAAATAGCACCAGAAGTGTGAATTTCCCTAAATAATGAATGGTAGAGGTAAATAAACTCTGTCTGAAAACAGCGATGATGAATTTGTCGAAAAACTAACTCCAATTTGGATCCGTGTGCTAAAAGAAAAACTCAGTACCCGTCTATAATGAATATTGCAAGTGTATTAAGAAACGAACACTTG